ATATATAAAATTTGAATTTTTGCAAACTTTAACAGTGCTGTCAACTTTGCAAAAAGTTATCCCAATTTATTGTGTTGAGTTGGCATTGTACAGAAATGGACAGCCATATTGGTCTAGAAATGTTGATTTTTTTAATTTTTATTTTATTTTTTTTCCATTTGTACAGGGGTAATGCACTGTATTAAATTGGTAAGGGCATATCTATGTGGGTTTGATTACAGAAACAAAAAAGTATTCTCTAAATAATGAAAAAAAAAGAAGATAAGACTACAAGATCAAGAAGCAATTTAAATATGTTAAGGGACCATTTTCATCTTCAGAATTAAGGATTATTTTAATCTTACATCATTGCCTTTTCTCTTTTACTTTCTGTTTTAGTTTTATTTTAGGATTCCTTATTTTTAATGTTCATACAGAGATTTCTTTAACTGAAATACCGAATAGTTTCTCTAGTATGAAAAACTATAATAGTACACAGGATCCTAATGAGATAATTAATAATGTTAAATAGGAAGTAAAGGGCTAAAGGTGTAGGGAAAGTGGGAAGGGTGGGGGAAAGGTAATAAGGGAGAGGAAAAAATATGAGAAATTGAAAAAATGGAAATAAAGTGTAAATGGGGAGGGGAGGAGGGGGTGAAGGGAGGGCAGGGACAAGGGAAAAAAATGAGAACCAAGACCTGTCATGTAAAGGCACAGGATCCCAATAATGAATGTAACTATAGTGTATACCTAGATTGTACCAATAAACTCAATAAAAAGAAAAAAAAAAGAATATATATAAAAAAAAGGGAAGGAGACCAAGAGATGGACGAAGTGGGGGAGAGAGCAGGGAAGGGGAAGGTGATGAAAACAGAGTTGAGATGTGTTATGTACATGTACCAACTCCCTATGAGGGAAGTAATTATTATGTACTGCAAGCATGACCCAATAAAAATTGAATTGAGTTAAAAAATAAAGTGCTATTTCTGTCAATAGACTTTTTAAAACATAAAAGTGGGTGGGGCAAATTCTATATACTGTGCCTAAATGAAGATAACATTTTCCACATGGTCAATGATTCAGTATGTTCATGAGGGGGCCATCTCTCTATCCAGTGACTTGAACCACCAGTGGTACATACATGACTATCTAATGCATGATTGTACCACATCTGCCACCAATGGTACAAGCTCCCTGATTGTACAGCCATGCATGTATCACTAGTGACAAAAGTATGGTGGCATATACCTGCAGGCCCAGATAGTTGGGAGGCTGAGGCAAGAGATTCACAGGAACCCAGGAGTTCGAGGTCAACCTTCTCCCTAAAACAAAAACAAAGAAAGAAACAAAGAGCTTGATTCCTGAAAAAAAAAAAGGAATAAGAAAGGATGCATTAAATGAAACTATAAATTCTGTACAGACTGAACAGAATGACTATCAAATGCTCTGAAACATAAATTGTAGTAATTTGATTGGGGAAGGAAGCCAGAATTCAAATCACCAACAGTGATTTTGACATTTTATTTCCCCTCCTGCGGTACTGTAATATTTTATCTTGTAGTATTTTCTTTCCACCCTGGGCTCAAAGGCAGCCAGAGCCTCATAACTGTACACCAGGGGCAAACAGAAAGAATTCCAACAGAAGTCCTCTGTTTGGTCCAAAAGACAGCAGAGGGGATTCCTAAAAGGTGGGGAATGCTACTCGCTCTCCCCACCCCACCCTCTCTCCTCCCACCCCCTCATCCTGTCTCCGCTCACAGACAATGTTTGTGGCAGCAGTGATGATGGTGGTGGTGGTGCTTGTTAGGAACCTAAATCTCTGAGGGAGGGAACCATTCAGTCTGATGGACAAGCAGTGATCACAAGGATGTGCAGCAAATCTCTATTCCTGTTTTTCAATCTCTGTCCCCCTGCCACTTAAGTTCAGACACAGAACTGGTCACAGCCAACAGGGGCAGAGGAGGAAGACGGAAGCCTCAGCTTGCAGGCTGGAGGACTGGGAAGTGAAATCCCGGAAGCTAGATCATGTTGGGGAGGCTAGGGACGTAGAAAGTTAAAACAGAGGTCCCATAAGCTTATATGATTCGATTCCTGTGGTCATCTCCAGGCTGGGCATATGTGGATATGTGACTCTTACCCCACACTGCACACCACATACTACGAGAACTGAAACTCCAGGCCCAGGACTCGTCCCTGGTGGTCCACGTACGGACCAACCTGAATGACACCGCACTTTGAAAACAGAACTGACATGGGAATCACAGTTCACGAGGCAAACTTCAGACAGGAAGATGCGATAAAGATGCTTCCAGATAGAGGAAAACGACAAGAATCTATTGCCACCTGATCTCTTCTATAAGGAATGTTAAAGAAAATTCTTCATGGCAAGAGAATTCATATCAGAGGGAGACTTGTAACATTAGTCAAAAGTAAGAGCAGCCAAACTGGCAAATATTTTGGAAAATAGAGTAGAACTTAGGTTCTTTAAAATGTTTCAGTTGAAAGCAAAAAGTATAACACTTGTGATATTCTGATGCAGTTTTCAATGCAACATTAGGCAGTATTATGAGGACTATGCAAAGTAAGGCTGCCAATGGTAACTATACAGTGGTAAGTTTTCCATACTTCACTTGAACTTATAAAATTCCTTATAGGTTGTGAAAAGGAAAGAATGCATACTTGAATTCTTAGAGTACCTAATTTTTAAGAAGATAAAGACAAATACTCATAAAAGTTAGAATAAAAAAATTCACATATTTCAAAAGAATGTAGATGCGAGAACTCGGGTCCTTGCGCTTGCAAGGCAGGCCACCGAACTGCTGAGCTAAAGCCCTAGCCCGAGAGAAAATTTTTTAAAAATAAAGAACAGACATAAAATAGATACATGGTGATCTACATAAAACATTAATTTTATATAACACAATTCAAGTACATTATATAGTCGTCACTTTCTACATAACAGATTAGCACAAATTTAGTTTTAAACAACATGAATTTATTATTTCCCAGTTCCTGTGGCCAGGAATCTCAGCATGGCCCAGCTGGGTGCTCTGCTCCAGCATTTCTCCCACACCTATGACCAATATGTTGGCCAGGGCGAGGGTCACATCTGTAGGCTTGACTGAGCTTGGTTTTCAGGACCGCTCAGTTTCTCTGGGGCTCTTAGACAGTGGGTCTCGGTATTTGGGTGGCTGGAGCCTGGAGGCTGCCCTCAGTTCATGACACCTGAGCTTCTCCAACCTGGCAACTTGCTTAGTGAGAGCCAGGAAGGGAGAGGATGTGCTGACACAGCTTACCAGCAAGGTAGATGCTACAGTGTTAGTAACTTCACTTAGGAAGTGACATGCTACCACCTCTGCCATTTTCTATTGGCTAGAACAATTCATGGGCCCTGTCCATACTAGGGAGAAGAGATTTTAAAAGGACATAGATTCTGGAGGAAAAATCCAATAAGGCTATTTTACAATCTGGCCACTATATCTACAAGTTAAAAGCAGACAGTAAAATAATTTTTAAAAAATGTTACAACTACCTACTGCCTAAAAGAGATTTGCTTTAAATATATGTGTGTGTTCAAAATAAAAAATATGAAAAACATGTTAAAACTGATTAAAAGAGCCTTGTAATACTATTTTAATATTAGACTTCAGAAGAGAAAGAGTATAGGGATAAAGAGGAGACACTGCATAATGATAAAAAGAATCTGTTCATAAAGGACAGGGCAATCCTAAATGTATGCACATCCAACAACAGAAATCAAGAATACAAAAACCCAAAACTGTTAGAACTGAATGGAGAAATGACAAATACACAATTATTGTTGAAGACTTTAAAACTTCTCTTTCAATAATTGATCATATAAATACACAGAAAATCAGCAAAAATGTAGAACTAGCTGAATCTAATTGAAATTTATAGACTGTCCAGCTCAACAGAAGCATACACATCTCTCTCAAGTGTACAAGAAAATGTGGGGGCTTCTGGTACATAAAAAACCTCTTCCCCTGCCAGCTAGGCAGCGATTTGTGTGGCCAGAGGGGGGTGTGATGGTGGGTACTGGGACCACTGGAGTCAGGGGCAGGCATTGTTTTTACTTTACAATCTGGCCAAGCCCAAGGTCACTGTGGGACCATGAAAAGGCAGCTCTCACTTTAATCCAATTGCAACCAGTTTAGACAACTGGGGATAAATTTTATTGGCAGAGAATTGTTTAAGAAACTTTCATTTGATTAGACAGGGATTGTAGGCTTTAGATGTCTGGTTTTGAAACATAAAAGTCCAATATTTTCTTTCTGTCTGGGAAATATATTTTTTTTAAATGTGGTTCACATGAATTACCTTTCCACTTCAGTTTTACCATGAATTGCATTATAATTTAATTTGGCTTCTTAGTCTCTATATCTTTTCTGGCTACTTCTCTGGCTAGTTTGCCATTTGGATATATAAGCATGACTGTATATCAGTTCACACGGCTCCTAGAAAGTCAACACGATTCTGAATTCATTTTTACAGCCTCCATTTGCCAGGAAGCCTGCAACTATGTAAAAGTGATGAATGCCCTTATACCAAAGGACGGCTTAGTTCACAAAGTCTTTGAATAAAAAAGTGAAAAAGACTTTTATTGGAAAGTTATATTCTGATTTATAGAAGGACTGTTCAGAAGTTCGTGTGATCAAAAGATTTCCTAGGAAAGCAGCACTGCCTCGTGAGGCAGTGTCATAGATCTGAAGGAATCATTTCCCTTTGGAAATGTGTCCTGTTGTGGGTCTGGGTCCTTCTGATTTATTTTGATGAAATGATTCAGGTGTATTATCTCCATGAAAAAAAATCTTCCTTCAAAATTATCTTTTGAGTAGGTTAGGGCATAGACATCAAGTTCACTTCCACGAGGGAACCTCGTCTCTAGACAGCTGGCGGAAAAAAAGACTTTGGCAAGCATCTTCCACCAACTCGATTATGGCTGAAGAGAGTAAACAACGTAAGAAAGGGTTTCAGTGTTAAGTAATCTACAAATCAATGAATGTTACATTTGGGGTGCTTAATCAGTAAATAGATTATTTTTAATTTTCAAAAATATATACAGTCAACCCTTCCATATGCATAGATGCTGCACCTGTTGGTTTAGTCACCTGTAGGTGAAAATATTTTGGGAAAAGACTGCAACTGTACACAACCTGTGTGGACCTTTTTCATCATTATTTCCTAAACGGCACCCTGTAGTGACTATTTACATTGTAATAGAAACTGTAACACATATAGGGTTTAGAGTATATGGCAGAGCCCTGTGTTGGCGGTGCATATCCATAGTCCTAGCACACCAGGCGGCTAAGGCAGGGGATCACAAGTTCAAGCACAGCCTGCACAGCTTGTGACTTAGTGAGACCTGGTCTCAAAAAACAAAGAAAAGAAAAGAAAAATAAATAAATAAACAAACAACAAACAAAGGTCTGAGGATGTAGCTCAGAGTAAAGGTTCTAAGTTCAATACCTAGGACTAACAAAAAAAAATGTATGGGAAGATAATCATAGGTTATGCATGAATATTGTACAATATTACACAAGAGACTTGAATATCAAGGATTTTGGTGTCCTTAGACTGTTCTGGAATTAATCTCCACAAATACAGAGGAACAACGGTAACTTTTGATGATCTATGAAAGTAAAATGTGAATTATAAGATATAATACCAGGCCAGGGGATACAGTATTTGCTTAACATGCATAAACATCTCAGTTCAAATCCCATATGAAAATGCTGGTAGAAAATATAACACCCTCTATAATTTCCTCCATCTTTTCCCCAATAAATAGTTAATAACATATTTATGTATCCATTATGTCAGAGCCATTTGGTTTAAACTGGTCAACGCATTTTAATTAACACAGCTGGTAAAGCTAGCGCAATTAGAGCTGATTTGATCTTGTTTAAACCAGGCTACCTTGATAATTATGATTTTAAACTTGTTTAGTTAGAATGTGTTTGCTCTGTTAAGAATCATTTTAAAGGGGCTGGGGATTTAGCTCAGTGGCACCATACTTGCCTCCCAAGCCCAAAGTCCTGAGTTCAATATCCGGTACAAAAAAAAAGAATCGTTTTACACCGTTTTCCTCTAATAAAAACAGTATCACCTGGCTTCGCCTGGTTTCCTTCTTCTGCCCCACCATGATTCTACTCATTTGGTCTAATCCAATAAGAACAAGTTGGAAGCCTGTTTATCCGATCTCCATCAGCATGTTCTTCCCTGAATTTGATCTGTTTCCATTTGGAATTGTTTCATCCTGCTTGAGCTGGATTTCTCCACTCAGTCTAGGAAGATTAGATCTGACCTGATTAGAACCTAGTCAAGCTGGCTGTAACCAACCTGGATCCAGTTGCTTCTTTGAGCATCCATTTGGGTTCCCTCAGATGTGATCACCGAGCTCCTCTGAGCCTACAAAATCAGATTAATTCCATTAGAACTCTTCAGCTGGTGGGAAACACAACAGTAACAGATGGTGGGAGAGCGGGGTGGAAGGGGTGAGCAAGAAAATGGAAGGTACTGCACCTGAACTTGTTGAAATCCGGACTGAAGCAGAAACCCAGGTCAAGAAATGAGTTTTCTATTTGTCTTTCAATATGAATGAAGATCCCAGAAGTGATAGGAGAGCACAGACCAGAGGGACTGGGTTGGAAACAAAGGTACATTATAATTAAATTGAGGGATTGAATGGATGTGCTCATGGTTAGATTAAATATAAAATGAAAAAAATGTTTATCATAGAAATGGAACTTTAAACAATTTAGATAATTATATTCTTTTGACAATTCTATCAAATTTCCTACATTTGGTCCTTCTCCCCAAGGCCCTTGGAAAGCAGAGCACAGCTGTCTCCTATCCTCCCCGCATCTACCTTGTTTTCTTGGGGGAATGGAGATTGGAGGGAAGCTCTGGCTAGCCAAGGGCTGACAAGGTCCAGGACCTCACGATGACCCCAGTGGAGACGCTGGCAAAACACCTCATGCCTCTGGCTTGTGTCTAACCACTGCCTCTTCCCCACTTCCCACCACCATGGAACAAGTGTCAGGGCTGTGGCGAAGGTCCAGCATCATCACCAGCCCCCTCAGTAGACTAACCCTAGCTTTAGGTGACCGTATGTGTCCCTGCATGTCTAAGATAATCCAATCCTGGTCTAGAGCTTATGTCCCAGTGTCGTAATGGTTCCCTTCCTCAAGTTTGCGAAACAACAAGGGCCTGGCTTTTTCCTCCGTTTCTCTCCTCTTCCACAGAAGTCTTGCCTGTTCCCATAGCTTAAAATTACTACCCTTTGAAGATAGCTCCAGACTTTCATCTCTTTCTTTTCCTGAGTCCATAATTTCCGCTTGGATATTATGACAATGGCTTTCTAAGAATCGGGCCAATGGAAATGACCCAGTTGACCATTCTCATCACCCACTCTTGCAAACAGACAAAGGTCACCTGAATATTTATTGAACCCACTCCTGACACTAAGGAATGAGAGTAAATATTTATCCTGGGTTGCAAAGTAAAGGATATCCACACAGATTATAAGGGTTCCTCTGGAAAGCATACAGGAACCATTTCCAGGTGTGTGTTTCTTTAAGGAAAACATTGTACAGCTGAGCAGAACACACACTGCAAGGTGCCATTACCTATGGGTTTTGCCATGGGCCTTGTTAGTGAATAGCAAAGGAAGGAGTCATGGGAAACACAACATGAATGGGCAGAATGTACACTCTGCCGCTCTCCCAAGGAAGCCATCGTCAGGCAACTGACATATTTCCAGAGCGTGGCATTAAAAAGACCAACTGTCTGGCTATAGACTCACAGGCAGCTGGACTGGCAGGGAAGACAAGCTCTGTCCTGAGATCATGGAGCAAACCATATCTGTGCTGGACTCTGGGATTTCTGCTTGAGGCTGCTTTGGTCCAACCTCAGCACTCGCAGGAACTGGGTTCTTGCTTCTTTGGGAGCCTGAAAAGTACAGTTGTCTGGGGACTGCAGCATCCATGTGATAGGTCCGAAGCGCTGGTCCACACAGGCAGACATGCCAGGCCCCCAAAATGGGCACATGTGTAAATCCCAGCACTCAGAATGCTGAGGCAGGAGGAGCCAAATTCAAGGCCAGGTGGGGCTACCTAGTGAATTCAAAGTCATCCTAGACTACATATCAAGACCCTGCCTCAAAAATCAAACCAAAAGGAAGTCCCGTGGGTTGTGCACCCACTACAAGCCAGGTTCCCTCCTAGGCACATTACAGAGAAAAGTGGATTCGTTCTCATGCCTTTGATGTGGGCTGGTCCTACAGAACAGGGTCCACCACAGGGGGCTGAGAGAGACTGTGCCTTCAAGCTCACTTCTTCAGGAAGTGACCTACTCTTGGGAGGAGATGGCTGGCTCTTCCCTGGACAGTCCTGGGTATTGTTCAGCTCAAGGGCAGTGCAGATTTAGAAGAGCGAGTCTGTCTTAAGTTGAATGTCCACAAAGGCAGGTCCTGAGAAGAGAACTCTGCTAGTGTGCTGGGCATGGTGGCACATACCTGTAATCCCAGCACTCGGGAGGCTAAGCAAGGTCGTGGGAAGCCCAAGGCCAGCCTGGGCTACACAGCAAGGCCTTGTCTCAAAGGAGGAGAGACAGAGAAATCCACTGGATACCACTTAATGTGATCTCAGCAAGCAAGTGTGGGGGGAGGTGGACAATAGAAGGGTGTGCTGGTCCGCTTTCTATTGCTGGGACAAAATGCCAGACACCCACAGTCTAAGGAGGAGAAGTTTATTTGGGTTCACTTTCAGAGGTTTCATTCTATCATCAGCTGTCTCCAAGGCATAAACACAGTGGTAGGAGAGGACAGTGGAGAAAAGCTGTTAACCTCATAGCAGCTGAAAAGACCCCATGAGGAAGAGGCCAGGGACCAGACAGAGTTCCTGAATTCAGACCTGCATGACCTGCTTCCTCCAACTAGGCCCTCTCTGAACAGCCTGTTGGTTCAGTTATGAAAATATTGACGGGTTAACCCCTCATGAGGTTAGTGCCCACACATTCTACCTACCGTCTGGGAGCCTATTAATCCACTCCTGCTGGCAGTCACGATTAACCCACACAGAGGTGTTAGGGAGTGGATCACCACTGTAGGCAGCTGGGGACACTGTAGGAGACCAGAACCTACCTCAGCCTTGCCCACTCACAGGGGTGCAGGAGGGACCTCAATCCACCAACTCCTGCCCCTCTTAAGGCTTAACTTAGAGCGGCTGGGCCTGAGCACTGTTGCTAGGCAACCTCTAGGCCAGAGGGTTACGGGGAGGGGTGGTGGTAGCGGCACAGAGTAACTCCTAAAGAGAGCCCCACTCTCTGCCAGAGGAGGAAAGAAAGAAAGCAGCATGAGAAAAGTGAAGGCAGCAGGAAAAACGTGTGGAGTCTGCCCAACATCAGAGACCAGACAGGGGCATTGGAAACTTGGGTCTTCAGGGGGAGACAGTACCCCTCCTGCCCCAATGGCTCTCAGGGCTCCACACGCACCCAGCTGTAGGGTGCAGGCAGAGAGTGTGCAGCTCTTCCTAAGCAATGCTGGCTTTTCCCAGTAAGGCTGTACAGTGGAAAAAGAGTGTGTGGCAGCCACATGCAGAATTCTTAAACAGGGAATCTGAAAAAAAGATGTCCTGGGACTCCAGCTGAGATTCTTCTGTCATTGAGGGCAGCATGATCCAGAGGCCAGGAGCAGGAGCTTTGGAGGGAGACCAACCCGGATCCAAGACCCAGCTCTATCCCTTAGTAACTATATTGTCTTAGATGAGTTTCTTCTTTTCACATTGCAGCTTCCTCTGCTACAAAAGCAGGTAAAGTAGTAAGAAACTTCTCATAGGGTTGCACTGAGAATTCAACGAGACAATGCTCTGATTACTGTGTTTGGCATATAGTAAATGCTCAATAAATCCCAGCTGTTCTTATTTCTCACTCATGCAGCAGATATTTCTGAAATCTCTTTCACATGCCAGGCTCTATTTCAGGAACCAGTGATACGTTTGTGAACTAGACCAAATTCTTGACATGAAATTTATATCCTATCATCTTAGAGACAGATAATAAACAACTAAATAAATTAATAACCATTACACGACTGAGGAATAAGAATGCACAGGAGCAAAGATGCAAAGATTCAGGGGTCAGCATTCTAGGGAACAGGTACCAGAACCAGGAATGCCATGAGTAACACAAGAATAAAATTAGTGACCTGAAAATCAGTAAGGCGAGGGTCACGAGAATAAGGAGAGAAGGTGACGAGGAAGAGAAAGTGACAGAGGCAGACAGATGAAGAGGGACCACCTTGGCTGCTTGGATTTCATTCTAAGTTTTGCACAAGACTGACAAGGTTTGATTTGCATTTTAAAGGTATCTCTTGAGAAGTCACGGACAGAATGGCCTAAGATAGGCAGAGAAGAACTGACCAGAGACCGAACCGTTGGGGTCCCTGAGAATTGTGGTTTCAGTTTTATGGTAGAGACCAAAGCCTAATTAGTATGGGTCAGAGAAAGAACAGAAAAGGGGGAAGTAAAAATAGTAGCAACAGTTGTTTTGGGACTTTCAGAGGCTATAAAGAGGACAAAAAAAAAATATGGAGAAGGAACAAAGCAGCAGGGGAGACATCTATTTCATTCTTACTTTTTAAATATAATAAGGGATGCTAGCACATGTTGGGATGACAGTGGGGTGAACTATTAGAAGTGGGAAAATCGATGATGCATGGAAAGATGTCAAGTCCTTCAGAAGGAAAGAGGAACAAGACCCTGCTCACCGGTGGTAACTTGCCCTGGGCTGGGGCAGCAGCAAGCCATCCTTTGTAACAGGAAGAAGTGCAAAGGGTTGAAATGTAGCTGCATGAAATATTCCTGGATACTTAGGGAAATGGCTTCTTTTCTCCAGAAAATTTCCAAACATTCAACTTAAGGACCTATTAAATGGCTCAGCCGGGGCTGGGGATTTTGTGCTGGCTGCCAAGCAATGATTTGGGGTTCACAGCCACCCCCAGGAGAGTGAAAACAGGGGACACGAGGTCAGAGGCAACATTCTTTCCCTATTCTGTAGGCCTTCAGTATATGCTGGATTGACTTGAGTTATGAGAAGCTAAAATCGTTTGTTGAGGATCTCCCTAAAAGATCTTTACAGATGAGACAGAAAACCATTAGTCTCGGGGAGAAATGTGTCCTCCACAGTCAGTACTGGACGCCTTTGAGCAACTCTGGCTGCAGCTGGGGAACACATGAGGGTGGGTCTCTGCCCTGCAAGAGTGGGGTTGGTCCACCGACTTGGCCTCTCCCGGCTATAGTGTGCCATCCCCTCAGCCCCCGTATGGATCATACTGAGTTAGATCTCCCTGCAGGGGGAGAGGTCATGGCTAGTCCTCTGCAGCCTCCCTCAGCTCCTTGGGCACTCAGCCAATGTGTGTCATTGCAAGCGTGGAACGGGTTCAGTGCTCACAGTCAGTAGAGATGGACAGCAGCTTCCACAGACAGTCAAGGGGTCCTCCACAGACCATGTCTCCTTATAGGCTCTTCACTAACACCTGGGACCTAGATTCGAGACTTCGGATACAGATGTTTGAAGTCAACAATGAGGAAAAGTTTCCATATTGGCTGCCTGAAGTTCTGGTGTGTTCTGCTGGTGATACG